CTGAAGAAAATTGACCAATCACAGAGCAGCGCCATGGGAACCGCATTCGAATGGAATGGCATTCGAACCAGGAAAAACACTCCCGACCCTTAGTACACGCTAAATCCGCTTGGAACGCCACGAGAGTGCCATGGCTTGCGTCAACTTTGAGTCGGACAGTGTGCAGTGTGCAGTGTGCGGGTCGATCGGGAGCGGGTCGAATAGTGTGCGGCGCGTTAGTGCTGTCCACAGTGCAAAATCGGATAGTGTGCGGCTAGCATTATTGATTTCAATTTGTGAATCTGGTCTGTCTATCGCCACTTGCTCCCACACTTTCAATCCAGACTCTGCCTGTGAACCCAAGTTAACCAAAACATGCAGATTGCACTTGAAGTCATTGAGTTGAACCACTTTTTTTCTGACATCATTGTGCAAAGTTTTAAAGTTGTCAATTACCACCAAAGGTAGACACTCGTCTCGCCAAACCTCTAGTTTTGACTTCAGAGAAGTGTTCACAACATGTCGATCTGTCATCATGTTTTTAATGGTTTTGAGCAGTTCGGCAGTTTTCTGATCAGTGTCCTCACCCTCGATTAGCCACCTAACGTGGAGTCATGTACTATTCGCTAACTCGAGTTAAGCGTCTACACGGGGCCTTAACTCGAGTTAAGGTAACTCGAGTTAGCTTAACCTCGATCGACTGGCTAGGTTAAGCTAACTCGAGTTAAGGCCCCGTGTAGACGCTTAAATCGAGTTAAGGTTCGTCGTGTAGACGAGGCTGTACATACCAAATAATACCAGTAAGATAATGAATTTATCATGAAAAATAAAATTTTATATGCAGAGCAACACATAGTTTTATAACATTCCTGGAGAATAACTGCCTTTCCCCAAAACAGCTATATTATTAAAATATTTTTTGGAAAGAAATTGAATAGAACCATTAGTTATACTGTTTATACTAACCATCTCCCTTTTCACTTTCTGAGGAAGATGCAATAAAGCGATGAGGCTTTTTCCTTTTTCTTATGCTCTGCTCTTCTTCTGATTGCATTTTTGATGTGTTTTCTGCTTGTTTAGCATTGCGTAGGGCTTTTTCATGGGAAGCTACAAACAAGCATTTTTATGTGATAATTAACAAAATTTTATCAGGGCAAAATCAGTTGTATTAGTTAATATTTTAAAACTTTTTAATTTACTACAGTAAAACTCGCATAAATCGTCACTTTCGGGACCAGGATATTTTGACTAGCACATAATAACGGCTTATAAATGACGACTTAGGTGGGGTATTCCAATAGATTTACTATGAGAGAAAATCGGGACTTTGACTTCTATGACGACTTACGCGAGTTTTACTGTATAACCAACATTACAAAATCAGAATTACTTTTTAAAACCGTTTTGTGGTGTTCCTCAAGTGAACTGATCTTACCTGTATAAGAAAACATCCTAACTTCGAACTTTTGCCACCGTTGCTTATCAGGCAGCTCACCTTTCCTTGCTTTCTGAGATGCCCCCGATGTCGGCCAGTAGCTATACAATCCCTAAAACCAATAGCAGTTATACGCATTTCAATATATTCCAAACATTACTGTTTTGTTGGCATTCTGATCAGAAAAACGTTTTTATTAACAAATGTTTTATATAATGTATAATACAGAAAAAAATGTCTGTATGTGACGGGTGTCAAATACTAACCTCACTGGTATTCTCAATCCAGGAATTGTGGACAACTTCCACAGCATTTTCATGAACAAATTCCACCACAGCATACTCAGCCATCTGGAATATTTCATTAAAGATTAACTCTTATAAATTCAATATTTGAGTTGTTAGTAGATAGCAATTACTGTATTACCTAAACATACCCATAGCAGAGATGGCACACCCTCTTGATGGCTAAAATTGGTGTAATATCGTCAGATACACGAATTCCGTGCCATGTTCACTGCAACATATTGTGTTGCAAATCCTTTTCCTTTCTAATGGCAACAATTTCACAGCAAGATGAACTATCAATTATATAGGTATTGTTTGGCCTGTTTATGGATATTTTGCATGTGTCCTGCTCTTGTATGGTTTTAACATTTCCAATTTTACTTATTCTTTTAGTAATTTGAGCAATTGGGTTTTTACCACATCGAACCATTCTCTTCAAATTATGTATGTAGTTCTCGAATGGAAAAGCAGAACACCTGTCCAGACTTCTATACTCTTCTGCATCACTGGCAATGTGGAGCAAGGTGTGCTTGTTATAGACAATAAATTCTGCCCCATACAGTGTTTTTCCCTGTCTAACAAAAGCCGCGTTCACACGGAGCGAAGGAACTCGGGTCGAAAACGACCCGTGTCAAATGCGTCCCGGGACAAGCGGTCACACGGACGTTTTCTCGGTACGAAAACGACTCGAGTCCTGGTTCATTTTTGCCGTGTGAACGCGCGACTCGGGTCGCAATTAGTACGTCACAACACGAAAACACAATGGCAATGTAAAAAAACAATGTATACCCAAAGCGGCTCCATCTAAATCTATTCTGCAAGTGAGTAATCGCCTCAAGAGATTTAATTAAGAAACACGTACAAGAAAGTTGTTGATAATTCGTTCTCATTCGACTCAATTTCTATTCTTTTTCTACGTGATAGATAGAAACGACGACGACGTAGTTTGACAAGTAGCTGTAAAGTTTGACGAAAATCCATTACAACCAACAAGTGGTTATGTTTACATGCAACACGGAAGTAAACAGAATAGTTGGAAGTCAGTCAGAAGAGTTTGATTGTTTAATTCGCATTGTTCGCTTGGACGCATTGTATTTTTTTCTCAGCTCACAGCTCGCATAATAGCGTTGTGTGAACGCTCTCTCTCTTCAACGACGCTCCGTATCGTTTTCGACACGGGTCGTTTTCGACCCGAGTTACAGAACAGCTTAACAGCTCAGATAGCGAGAAACAGCTTACTGCTTTACGCTGCGTTCTGCAAAAAATAAAAAAATCGTATTAATAACATATATCTGTCCATTAAACTGCGTTGTTTAATATATTAACAATTCGCTGCTCAAGAAATGAATTGCCATCAACTACTACTACTGCCTCTTCTACTACTTACTCTTCTTCTTAGGCGGTAACCAAATAGCAAATATAAGAAATAATAAAAATATAATTCAAACTATTTCATGAAGCTGAAAGAACATTTATTCTCACTAATTAATAGTAATACAGCCTTTTATGTGATATTCTTAGCTTCCTTACGCTTATGCCATATTATTTAACTAGTAATTATTATAATGTGATTTGCTTACGTATAAAGGTATTATAATATACTCACCCTTACATGCTGCACATGGCGTCCCACAAGTTGGGCAGCGGGCTCGAACGCCCCCAATCGACATCCCCAGCTTCCACTTCCGATAAAACACATTTTTAATGTGTTTTTTCAGCTTTTTCCCTGAAAATAATCCAAAATAAACAATTACCCCTTCAGCCTTATTGCCCAGTGCAGTGCGGGGGACATATCCCCCTCTCAGCACTACTAACCGTGCAATTCAGGATCCACATCTTTCTTTAACTCCTCGTAAAGCATCGATGGGGTCACTTGCAAACCATCAGCCAGCATAGCTCTAAAGCGCTTTTCAAAAAGTTCTCGATAAATCGTAAAGGCCATTACTACGTTGAAGTAGGTATCGAAATGCCTTACTTCGAAGAGGCAAGCGGCTTTAATAGCGGTATCTAAACGTGAATGTGACATTGACAGTCAGACAGCGGTATTTCTCGTATAGGTTGACCGCGAACCAATCGGGGCCGTGCGGCAAATCTTGGATTCGATTGTCACAGACGCCGCCTTTTTTTTCTCTGCCTGCGGTGCTCGCTTTGAAGTCTGTCTGAAATGAACTATAATACTATATATAATGAGTCTATAGACTTACTTAGCGATCACATGCGATTTTGACTCAACATGAATGGACCGTGGCCGAACCTAAGAGGTATAAGTTAATTATATTATTTTCTTAATTCCTTACTTATTCATGCCTTATTACTTCTTCATGCCTTATACTGATATTTATTATTCATTGGTGATGAAATATTGAGTAAAATGATTACAAATCAAACGTTGGAGAGATTTGTAATATTTGTTTCTATGTTTATCTATGCTGTAACTAGTTTGGATACATTTGATTCCTTCTATCTATATAGGTTAAATAGTGCACCTGTGTATGCCCGTGGTAGAACACGAATATTTAAATGCTGCACGCCCGGACTCGGCCCGCGTGCGATTTAAAGCGCGGGAAACGACGCTCGCGCAAGAATGGCCAGTGATCTGTACGGTGTGTAGCACGATGTGTACGGTGTGCTAAGTGCAGTCAATTTAGAGAAATTTTAGTAGAATTCATACGATGACACAAAGTTTTCCATAACAATGGCCTTGGTGCCCTTCTCAAATTGTGAGAGTTGCCTTGATGCCTTTTAAAATTGCCTCGGTGCCCATCCATTTTAGAGAAAATTCAAGGCAATTTCTCACATGCCCCCCAAAAATTGCCTTGCCCCTCTCGTCGCTTAATTCGAGGCCTGGTCACAAGCATGACGAAGGTAGATGATTCCATCTTCAGGTTTTACTTTCGACTTCAGCAGCTGGCCAAGCACACTCTTTGTCGTTTTCCTCATCAATCCTTCATGAAATAGGGATGTTGGCTGTGGTGTCAGTTTATAAGCCAAATAGTTCTCCATCTCTGAACTGCTCTTCATAACACAGGTTATTCTGTTGAACAGCAATGTGGGGTTGACGACTACAGATTGCCCACGGATCTTCACTGTATTTTTACTTCCACTTATAGTTTTGACTCTGTCATTGCGTTTCAGCTTCACATCAGAGAATGTTTTACCATCTACTGCAGATGCAGCAGCATTACCAAGTTTGTAGGCTTTGCCGCAGTTTACAGATGCATCAGCCACGAGACCTGTTGAAACAGCAACTATATTGTTCATAATGTCAACAAGTAAGGAGCAGAAGTGTAAGGCTGAATGCGTACAACTAAACGTGAGTGACAGTCAAAGAAATGGAGAGAAAATGCCTCCTGCTCCCTGTCGCAGCAATCTTAAATATACCCGAACTTGTTGTTCGACCTTCCTGGTCACGATGTGCACCGGCTGCGGGTTATAATAGATTATCCCGCACTCCGGCCCCTCTGTTGACGTCGTTAGCTACCTTATTGCTTCTATTATTACCCTCACGCTGCATCGCGCGCACCGAATATTTCATATATTTCCCCCTGGCTTGTCGCCAACGCGACCTGCACGGCCTCATGCCTAAACTAACAGTAATTAATAAGCTAGCCTGAAACCAGCTCCGTTACAACAGCATAAGGTAATAGGTACTGGTAACACAACCTTTTGATAAAGATATCTATTTATCTGTATCATCAATAATTCTTATCATCAGTTTTTCTTACCAGCACTAGTCATGTAGCGTGTGACTGATTTTAATCTGGACATGTAGGAGA